CCTGGTCCTGTCGGTGCCGGGGCTGCTTGTGCTGAGAGGGTCCTGGGCATAGCGCCGATGTATGCTTCTAAGCTCCTGCATGTCCTTGTCCATAGCCCAGGTGACAACCCCCACGTAATTTGTCACCATGTCAGATTGTCGGCGACGCAGTCCAATCCCCGAGCGCAAATGTCAAACTCCGGCACTAAACGCTTTAGCTAGTGTGAAGAAGGAGCGCCTTGTCGGTCTCTCCTGCAAAGCGGTTTTTGCAGCAAAGCCTGAGAATTTCCCGACTGGAACTAGGATTTGAGTAGGATCATTGTTGTTGTTGTTTTGTTCTTGTTTGGGCTCGTCTTGGGGTGCTACACCGTCTGTTGTGTTTGATGGTCATAGTTGGATTCTTTTCGGGATTCCTGTAAGGTATAGCAAACACAGCACAAGTCGTGTTGCTTTGCTTGTGCACTTTCTGGATTCTGAAGCCCAGCTGCTTTCCGACATCCTGCGTTGAATGATCCCGCTAGAGCCAGGTGGGGCTGAACCCACTCCTCTCGCTGGTGCCGGTTCTGTGCTTGAGCTGCAAAGAAGTGAGGGCTGTAGAGTCGAGGAAGCGGCTGAACTTTGGCTTCTTTACCCACACCCTCAACCTTATTTCCCTGGACGCCTGTTCACAATCCTTGCGCAAACATGTGAAGCATCACACCAGGAACAACAAGAGCAGTGCAACCTGTGAAACCACAGTATTGCCTTGATGGCCCCCCTAAACACTACACCAGAAATTCTGTAAACTTCTTGTAAACCTGTGTGTAAATCAAGGTTTCAGATTCCGCTCTTCGTGGCGCTCTTCCGGGCGATCGGACGACTGGCCTCGCAGGACGACCACTTCAAGGCAAGCGGGTCTTTGGGTTTGGGCCGTGTGTGTCTCTAGTTGTAACTTTAGCTTTTATTGGGGGGCTTGGGGTCTGTAGGGTCAAGGCTTCAAGCTCTTGGCGGAGATACTTGGACTTAGCCTTAGCACTCTTCGAGGCGGGGACGTCTTCGCGCAATGCAACATCCTTGCGGCAGCAGAAGCTGCGCCAATCTGTACTCCCAAACATGATATCCCCCCGAAGCTGGTTCACGGCTCTTTTTTTAGCTTTGCGCCGATGCTGCTTGACCACCCGGCAATCTGGGACAGCCAAAGACAAGCAGTTCTCACCCGTGCTTTACGGACAGGTCTGCATGAATGCCTAAAACCTTTTACGTTTTTTGGGGGGCTTCATTCAATCGTCTCAGGCTTGGGGTTAGAGAAGTAAGGTAGATGCGGGGTGCCGAATACATCACCCAAATCTTCAGTGAACCAGTGCTTTGAGCATGCATCGCCAATGGCGACAACGTTAAGCACACTGGCACCTTCGTGACAGAAGCCTGGGCATCGCACTGGCGAACCTTCAACTTCGACGCCCACCCCTGCCCAAAAGACTGCAAAGTCTTTGCTGGGTTTCAGGGCTGGGATCCCAAGAACACAAATTGTGGCTGGCCTGGTGGACTGGGAAAGAGCGGAGCAACTGCAAACAGTTAAAAACTTGAAACCAAGCGCCCTCATCGTCACACATGCATGAACCCTACAGCCAGAATGCCCTTGAAAGCTTAGACGCCTTGAAGAAGAACTAGGCAAAGGCCCCCAAGCCCTGAAACCCAGGAGCCCAGGCCCACAAGAGGGTCGTCTAACACCACACCCCGAACGCCACTAAGAGACGAGAGCTCTACACCCGAAAAAGAGGGGCCTAAATAATGACCCTTACTACTATGGGGGGGGTTCCTTACTATAAAAAAAGCCATAGTAGACCCCAAGCCCTATTCTAATTCTTAAGGCCTCTAATATTACACCGAACTTCAATCTTTCAACCCTAAACCCGAAACCCTACAAACGCCCAGGAGCCCTTTCTTTGGATTCCAAGCCTCGCCGGCCCGGTGAGCCAAGGGAAGCCCAGCCGCGGGGACTTGCAAAAAACATTAGGGCAGTACAAAGCATATGTAATATAGGGGCCTTAGTAGTTAGAATAGGGTTTGGGGGGGGGTGTATTTTGCTATAATACCCTTAAGCCCGAATATAGGGGCCTCAAGAACTACCTGGATTATTTTGGTGGTTCCTTACTATAATTAAACTATACTATGCAGGACCCCAAAGCCCTACTTATTAAGGCCCCAATATTACGATGATTCGAAAATCTGCCTTGCATGTGAGAGCACAGGGTTGCAGGCATTTCGGGGTCCCGTTGGGTCGCAGGGAAAAGGGGCAAAAAGTCGGAGGTCTAAGAGCTTCAGGCTATGCTCCTCCGTCGGATTTTTGCTTCCAAGGGCTTCCTGCAAGAGCTTCGGACCGTAAATGAGAGCTGATTTAACCTTGAACCCTACACCCGCCGTGTCTGATTGGACCGGCTGCCTAGGGGAAGTTGAAAAGTGTTGCTGTGACAAGGGGGCATCCCTTTGGGCATCTTTGTTTCGATGACTTCCTCGTTGTTGGGAAGGATGTACGGCTGCAGCCCCTGTCTACAACTTCCTGCAAATAGCATATGGGTGGTTGTCAAAAATTAGGGTCCCTTTTTGGCTCCTTATAATAATACGGCACCTGATATGTAGGGTACCCCAAAAGGGACCATACTTTTGACAACTACCCATATGAGAGTCTCAGAGAAGAAAGAACCCTAGTATGCTTCAGGGCTTCTGTCTTCTCCTGAGCGAGGTCTGCCCTGCTCATCGCGCAAGAGTGAGTGCCGAAGCCCCCAAAACCCAGACACCTTAACAAAGTAGGAGCTAAACTCTGAAGGCACAAATGGCCCAAAAAAGAGAAGAAAGACCAAACCGGCCTTTGGAAAGAATAACAAAATCGGAACAGCGCCCCCTAAAACCCTATACCCTGGCAAAAGAAAAACCTAAACCCTATGCCCCTTTTTTTTAAAGCCAAGTCGCCAAGCTCTGGCAGCCGAAGGCCTGGATTGGCTTTTGAAGACCCGATCCAGCGAGGTTTTCGAGCCTTTGGTGGGCTGGCAGGTGCCTTTTTGCGCCCTTCCTCGCGTGTTCTCGGCCTTTTGGGGGGTTCTTTTTGAAGGGTTTAGGGTTTAGGGTTTGGGGGCCGTTATCGGCTTTCGTCGAGTGTTATCGGCCTTTTTGTGGGTTCTTTCTTAAGGGTTCAAGAAAGCAGTCTGGTGAGATTCTAGTGCTATGAAGTTACCAAAACTGTGCAATAAATTGGGCGACTTTGTATTCGGTGATTGCAAGGAGCCGCCAAAACTCAGGTAGAAGCACACTTCCCATTCTGCCAACAGCCCGCGACATCCAAATTCTCGCTGTCGCCTGCGCAGGATGCCACGATGTACTGCGTGCTGCCCCTGCTGCTCGGCCTCCTCATGAACAATCTTCCCGCAGCCAGGGCCCTTAGGAACAAGTAGCTGATGGTGCCAGCTAGGAACTAGGGTTTGGGTGCTTAGGGCGCCTTTATGATGGCGATAGCTCGGTGATGAAGGCCACCCCAGCACAGGTGTCCGCAATGGTGGTAGTGCCATTTTGTTGCCGCATCCTCACCTTCCTGGAGACCTGCGGAATCCATCGTCTACCACACCACGAACACAACTAGCTTCGAAATTCATCACCTGAAATTTGGACCCAAGTTTCAAGATTTGGACTTAAACCGTGCATCACCCGGTTGCTGAAGCAGCTTCTGTTCATTTTCAATCGCGATCAAAGGTTGCGACACCCCAAACCCAACACAGTAAGCCCATACACCCTAAGCAATGAATCCTCAGGCCCGTGCGCCCCAAACCCGAAACCTCTTCCCCACAACCTCCGGTGCTGCATCTGAGGCTGGTCTTCCTAGCCCAGTTCCTTTCCTCCAGGCACGGCTGCGGCATGCTTTGGGAACAGGTTTTCTATTAAAGATGTTGGTGTACTTAATAGTATGACTCTGAGCCAAGAGAAAAGGTTGGGGTTTACAGCTTTGGGGTTTAGTGTTCAGGGCAGCCTTCCAGGAGCACGATGCCACAGGCCCCCAGCGTGTTGCCCAACTTCGAAAACTCCCATTTGGCCATGCAAGTCCTGGAAATAGGTTGTATGCCTCGACAAACGGAGCATGGTCCTCTAGGTCTCACCCTTTTGCGTCCAAACCCCACGGCTCGGACACCACGTTAGACGCTGGTCGGATGGGTCTTCCATCCCGGCCCCCGGCTCTCAAAAAACCTAGGGTGGTGAGGTCCCAGATGCCTAAGAGGCGCTCCGAGGCCCCAGAAAGCCAGATCCTTGGAGCACGTGAGCAGGTCCGGGCTCCTAAAAATCGGTTTCGACCGTCCCGTTCCCACAACTTCCGGGGTTGCTAAGGGATTCTGAATTCTTGCGCCTGGCACCAACTTAATGCGACGGTTTCGTGCAAAACAAGGCCCCATAGCGACAAGAAGGACCATCAAAGAAGGCTAGGACACAGGCCTCGTACGAGCGGAGCCATCCTGGCAGCCATAAGCCGAAAGCTCTAATACTGACCCTGGACTTGTTCTGAGATGAAGGTGATGTTAAGCTTCTGGCTTTTCGCCATCATGTGGCGTCTCCATTGTGTCCGCCATCCTGCCCAAGACTCGAAGACTGCGAGCCTCGACCGCTGAGCTGCAACCCTGTAATGCCTGCCTGAAACAGGCTGTCCTCGTCCTCCTCGGAGAACTCCACGAATGGCGTCCTCTTCCCGTGGCTTGGGCCGGCAGAATGTTTCAAGTTCAATACTGTCAGTGTCAAAAACAGAAACCCTGGTAAAATGAAGAAGAGTAATGCATATGGTCATGGTTTTCATATACGCCGAAGACCCAAGGGCGCCAGTATGGAATTTGAGGTTCGCGGGGAGGTAGAAATGATAATATCCTCGCATGGTCAAGCGCTTTCGAACCGAAACCGCCAATCACCTGGATCTTTTCAGAGCCTGAGCTTTTCGTTCCTGTCGAAGACAGTCCAAAGTCGCAATCCTTCGAGATGAGTTGGACAGCATTCAGCCAAACCCGCTTAGAATGCCGAACTTGAAGCCACAACTTGCAAGTCTGGCGGTGCGCATCGGTCTTATCAGGCTCTTTATCGGTATTTCGACGCTGGTCTCCCCCTCTGGAGTCGGTGCCTGCGCCTGGTGATGGGATCGGCTTTCGGATTTGGCGAGTTTCGGGCTAAAGCTTCGGTGAAGCTCTGAAGCTCTAATGAGTGTTCATACAGTCAGTACAGGGCGTCTGAAGAATTGAGAATACTCCTTTCGGGGCTCCTTCGTACAAGATAGCATGGATACCCTGAACAACCCAAGTCTGATTATTCAGTCGTCCGTACCAAGCTCCTGGGGAGATGGGAGTTTCTGAAAACCCTGTAAGGCACGGCACGGTTCTAGCAGTCCCGATCTTCTGCGGCCCTCATGGAAGGTATACCCCAAGCACAAACAAATTCGAGTACTGACTCGCAGTCTTTTTTTGTTGGTAGTGGTTATTGTCGTTGGTGGTGGTTGTGTCTTTGTTGGTGTTGGGGCTGCCGATGTTGTTGTTGGTCCAGGACCAGCATGCGTAGAAGACGAGAAGCAGCTGGAGCAGTGGTAGTAGTCGTCGTGGCAAGAAAAAGGTTGTTGTTTTCGTTGCCGTTACCACCACAAGCACCAGCAGTGATCTTCCTTTCCAGCCTAGCCTGAGCGGTAGTGTTTCAAAGCAACCTCCACGACTTTACGACGATAAGCTTCAGACCTTGAGCCGAACTTCTGTCATCCCGGACGCACCTAGCTCCGATTACAGGTTTAGGCCTCGGGGTTCCTTTGCCAATGGCCGGTAGGCCAGGCCACAGCAAAAAGCTGCGAGCGCCACCTGTCGTTATCCTATTAATACAAGCACAATTTCACGTAGAGCACCGAGAGAGCTATTAATTATAGCCACCGATGAACCTGCAAGTAGACAGGCTTTGGGTCCAAGGTTTGGGCTGCAGCAGTAGGGTAAACTGCTATCGTTGCGGGTGGTTTGAAACGTTTTGCAGGTTTGGTCCCATTGGTAGAACGTATGAGACGGTACTTCCTTGATTTCGCCGGGCGAGCTCGAAAAGCGTATGTTTGCGCAAGTGGTAGCTCGACCTCGACGAGGATTGATTGAATGAGGGGAGGGTACCCTCCACTTACCCACAAGGAAAACAGGGAAGCCAACGTGTGAGAGCAAGGGTGCAGGCGCTGACGATCATTTAGTCAGCGGAAGACTTTGTGCAACTCTTGAGGATTCTGTGTTTGATCCATATACGAAACTGTCAACTTCTCCTGTACCGGGATATCAGAGGAGACAGTATGTGCTGCAACACTGACAGCTGCCCTCAGTTTCTAAGCCCAATCCAAGGTGTGTATTGGTTCACCAACACGGTGCTGACCACCGCCCAGATGAAGGTGACCCAAGACGAAGTCGCGGAGGCTGTTCAGCTATGCAATGTTATGGTTTGCTATGTTATGTTATGTTATGTTATGTTATGTTATGTTACATTGTGTTTAGTTTTTTTATATACCACATATATAGTATAGATCATAAAGTCACCGTGTCGCGTGAGTATTTCGTTATACCTTTCGGATTTTGCTATACCATATCCACCAAAACTATGTTACATTGTGTTATAATGTGTGTAGTACAGTGTTCGATACTTATGCATTGCCTCTCGGCAAGGAGTTCCCGGAGTACAAGCAAATCAAGGACGAAGTTGATGCCAAGGAGGCCCATGGAACCAGACACGTTACGGGTTTTGCGGCCGTGCAATGATGTGTTAGAAGAGGGTTCCTAGTGTAGAGAGCCTAGGGTGCGACTGACTACAGGGGGTGTGGCTGGGGATAAAACTGAATAAAAGTGCGTTTGTACAGCTTTTGACCCTCCCCATGATCAGCCCCCAATCGCAGTTTCAGTTGTGGTTCACGACAAGAGCTGACGAGGCCTCAAAAAAATCGTGACGCTAAGCATGGCCGCCGAATAACCCATGGAAGCGATCGTTAGTGACAGTGCGCAGCACAGGCATGAGAGAAGCATAGTCACACGACGACAACCGCAGGGTTTTCGCACCCTTGAGCCACTCCTCTCCTTCTCAGAACGGCGCGCGGTACACGCGAGCTTCGCCTTTCAAGGAGGCCGGGGCTGAGTTCCTGGAGATACTTCGCCGTAAATACTCTAGAGTATTGGAGTTAGTGTATACGCCTTCCTCTGGACATCTCTGACTACCTGTCTGAAACCCCCAAGCGCCGAGCCGCAACGAAGCAGGAGGATGCTGTCAAGAAGAGCGTGGACGCGTTGAAGGAAAGGGCTTGCAGGGGAAATGTGAGTTGGTTATTATTCGGAGTCTTGGTGAATACCCGAGATGCTCTCATGTGGATGCAACGATTGAGAAGTATAGAAAAGCCCCTGCTTCCAACAATGACTCGAATAGTGTTTATGGAATACAAGGTCGGCTATGCTCCATCATACCCTAAACCCTAAACCCTAAACCCTATTTTACAACATTACAGCGCGTGGATCCTTGATTTCTTTCCGGGCAAGCTCAGGCTCGAGCACGTGGGAGTAGTCAGGGTTTAGGGTTTAGGGTTTAGGGTTTACAGAACCCCTTGAAAACCTGGTTTCAAACCGTACATATTTCGACAGAAAACTATTGGAAAAGATAGCTGCATACCAGAGGGTCTCTGGAAAAAGGCCTTTAAACAACAAATTTCATCAAGTATTACTAACCCCTGCAGCACGCAACCCTAAATGCTAAGCCTTTGAAGGGAATCTAGTCAGATCAGCGAGTAGACAAAAAGCATCATTTTCAGAAGCCTCACAGGAGCCCGAAGCACCTCCGAAGAAAACCTCGCGGAAAGAGCGCCGGAGGGGGAGGGGCCGTAGCAAATCCCGGTGAAAGGCCTAGGTCTTTAGGGGTTCTTTGAGGTTTAGAATTCATAGACTCACAGGGTTCTAGGGTTTATGACCCCTAAGCCCTAAACCCTAAGCGAGTTTTAAGGTTAGGGTCTTTTAATTTCAGGATTGAGAGTGGGGCCTATTTGGATATATATATATATATATATTATATATATATGGGGCTTTAGGGTTTCAAAGCCTACAGTCTTAAGAGCTTTAGGGCTTCAGGGTTTGTAGGACCTACGGGTTTCGGGCTCAGGGTTTTTCGGAACTTGTTTACTTGAGGCTTTGCTGATCTCAGGGCTTTAGGGTTTAACGTCTCAGGATCCAAGGTTTTGGGATGAGAAGAGTTGGGTTTCCGGGAGGAAAGCTCGGCTTGACGGGGTGTACGGTTTTGGAGCCCCACTCCGGATCAGTGCATCATGATCTCGACATAGCATCCATCCCTGAAGTGCTCCATAGCCCCAACCCCTACGCTCTAAGCATACCTCAAAGCAGGCAGAATACAGATGGGACAAAGTCAAAGGAAAAGGATGCCACACCGGGTACAGTTGCACATGCGCACTCAAGGTGCCCAACCCTTGACATAGGGGTGCCTTCGGTGCCGACAAGTTAGGGATACTTAGACACTACGCGTCTTGGGCTCCCTGGGTGCGCAGGATATATCGATTTTCGCTGAGCTCGGTCTCAGATTCTTCAGCTCTGCAAGGTTAACCACACCGCTTAAAGTCGCTGCAGACATATACTAGATTGATTGCTTGCATCAGGCTTTGGGATTTGAGATTCAACCTTGTTGAGCAGGTTCCTAAGCGAGCACCTTCAGTTTGTGGACTTGGGGCGGCCTGCAAGCCGCCGCAGTGATCGTGTATCTCACCTCAGGCCAGCGTAACGCCGTGTTTGTGTTATCTTCCAAGTGCCCTGCTCTCTAGTGCAGAAACCTGCCTTGAAACTCACAATTGGCCTTGGAGATGTTGACTGTGACGCGGCATTACATCTTTCAAGCCGGCGGGAGTTCATGGATCTTTAGCTGCAGTCTCGTTGCCAGGCGAGGGGAAAAAGAAGCACTTCGGAGGGGGGAGTTCTGCAGCAGTTTATGCTGTGCCCTGACACCCTAGCGCAAATCAAAACCTTGATAGCAGGAATAAAATGCACGAAAACCCGCAGCCTCTGCTCGTCCCGAGCATATTTTCGGGCTGTGAGTTCGAAAGCTTGATCGAATGGGTACACACGAACCTTCTTCTTATGGGCCAATAATACCTGTACTCATCAGCTATGAACCCCACCTACCCCTTGCAGGAATGTACCTGCGAGAGGCAAAGTCTTGGTGCCTTTTGCGGCACCTTTTGCTACCCGGGCTTGTGCCCAACAGAGCCATACAGCTGCTGTTCCAATCTGGTCGGACAAGACATTCAGTGCTTTCTGAAACTGAAGCTCCCTAAAGCCCAACCTTGGACCCAAAACCGAATAAACACGTGCTAAACCTTAAACTTGGCCCAGAGCCTGGCGGCCTGGCGCCCAGGCATCCTTTTGGCGAGCAGATACGGGCGCGGAGGCGGGAGTCAGTCAGGAATGAAGATGACGGATTGAGTCAGTAGCAGGACATGAATACTTCCAAAACCCTAGTCTAGTGAGTCTAGTGATGCAAGCATGTAGATCAGGCCATGGGGGCTTAAGGCAGCTCTGTAGCCTTCAACCCTTTCTTGGGAATATACAGAATCTCGAAATAAACACAAGGGTTAAGCTCTAGTTCCTCTAAGGCTCCAAGTGCCTGGACAAACAGGCCAAGCCTGCACCTGACAAGTACTTCATCAGTTTCATTCCCTCGCTCAGGTGCTGACGCTTGGGGATCCGCAGGCGGCGGTGTGGGGGTGTGGGTGTTCGTGCTAGGACCTAGTGATGACAGTTGTTGACTTTATGTTATGTCAGACACAACTTTACATTCATTTTCAGCGGCTGGATTTACGCTCAGAGCAATCACAGGGCTTCTGTCTTTGTTGTGCCCGTAGTGGTCCGAGGAAGCTGGGTCTTCTTTGCGGGGTCCAGGGTCCACCCCAAAGTTTTAATCCGAAAGCTATCCTAGGACATTTACATGAGCGCGGTCTGATTGAGGTTTCCTTGCCGTGTGAACTCAGTTGTTTCTCCGGAACTTGTGACTTGCAATCTGAGCCATACCAGGCCTGTCGCTCTTCTGTAGCACGAATCTCACTCCGGTGCGAAGGCATGTGGCCTTCATCTTATTGCAGTCCTACTTTCAGCTCTGGCTGAGTGAGTGAGACTATATACAGCAGCAAGACACACTGGGGCTACTCAGACACGGGAAGGCGGCACCAGTGTGATGAATGCCTTGTGACTAGTGGATGCAAGTAAATGTGGCCAGCTTCGAGGAGAGAACAGTTGCTAGGCCTCGGGGACAGTGTAGTTTTTGTTCGACCCTCTTCTAAACCTTGTGTCTTCATCGCTTCCGTTCAGGCCTTACGCTGTCACACAACGCGCCAACGCTAACTCTAACCGACTCCAACCCGCAAGCCCAAGGCGGTGTCCCTCACACCCCCCCCCCTCCCAGAGCTGCCAGGAGCCGCCCGGTGATCCACTGGATCCGACAGGCGCGGCGACGAGGGGACGCCTGTAATATGGGGCCCTCAATAGTTACCAACATTATCTCGCGGGCTCCTTATTATAATTATAGTATAATGGATCCCAAAACCCTGTTCTAACTATGAAGGCCCCTACATTAAAGGTGATGGTTGAAGGCCAGGGAGTTCGTAACGATTTATTCAGGCTTGATCAGGGAGCTGCCGGGGTTTCAGACGTTGCTTTCAGCTGCCGAGAAACGGCTGTTCTCCGAGTGGCCTGGCCTACTTCGGACCCTTTTTCGACGGAGCCATTGCTCGTCTGCTCGAACAGCTAAACCGGGGCCTTAATGAAGAGGATCGGGTTTTGGATTGGGCTTGTTTGACTTCCACAGGTCCAAAAAATATATAGACTTGTATATGGACTATATGGAGCGGTATGTTTAGGCCCTTATATTGCTCGACTTTGGAGCGACCTGAGCTACTTCAACCCCAGGTAAGAGAAAACATGACGTTTAGCTGCCGGTGTGTTGCCAGAAGCCAGGATGGGCTGTTTGTTTAGTCTAGGACACTTTCAGGTGGGTAGTTGCCATTATTGGAGCCTTATTGAAGGTCTATATACCTTATAGAAGCCCTATATACCCCAAGCTCCCCACTTTTGGTGACCTTGGGTTTAGGGCTTCGTGTTTGTTCAGTGGTCGGTTGGGGCATCAGCTTTGCATCTGTTGCTTCAAGTGCCAGCGAAGACACCGAGGGAAACGGATCGCTTCGGAGTTAGAGCAAACCTTACTGCTTGAAAGTAGCCTTTACCCTCGAATCTGCAAGCCTGGCAGTCCTAAGCCCTAAACAAAAGCGAAGCAAGTGTTACAAAATACTCAAGCCACCAGAAAAAGAAGCAACAAAGAAAACAACACAATAAGCAGGAGATATGTTGATCATAGGCACAACAGACGCAATAGCAATGGTAGCAACAACTTCACTAGTAATGTTGATAGCAAAAGGAGCCAGAATCGAACCCCAAACATAGCCTCCACGAGGTACACCTACTCCACGGATGCCTAGCAAGCTGGAGGTAGTATCTGCTGCGGCCCAGAAGGACGCGGTTTGTTCTTTGTTCTTTAGGACTTTTTCGTTTTACTGTTGCATATTCTTAGGGGGTTTAGGATTAGGGTGTGAATGTCCATTTAGGGAAGAAATAAGACATGTTTCGGGGATAGGAGAAGGGGTTTAGGATGGATGGGTCTAGGATAAAGGGTTCTGCTCTTTTGCCGCGCTTCGTAGATGTTTTCGAAGGGATTCATGTGTTTTGCTACTATCTAGATTTTCTGGTGGTTCTTGGGGATTGGCTTTCTGGAGTTATTCGCCCTGCTAAAATGTCCTGCGTTTTGTTGCAGTTTGCAGTTTTCTCTGGCTCGGTCTCTTCCTGCCGGGATGCCTTCGGTGTAAGGCTTGAGAACTCCAAGTCTGGAGGATTTCGTGGCAGACTTTAGCTAACTTAATGCGATAGGATATGCAAGAAAATCCCATATAATGTACCATGACATAAGAGCAACACGAAGTAACATGTGTTACTGTCGGAGTTTGGTCTGTTTGGGTTGATTTCCGGTACCTCGTTGGGCGCTTTACCGGGCCGATGATTTCGGTCTCCGCGGTTCGAGCTGCTGTCGCGACGTTTCCATGAGCCAGCAGACACCGTGTCCAGAAGCAGCTGAAGTAGCAGTAGGAGTAGCAGGAATAGTAGCAGAGTAGGAGTATCAGGAATAGTAGCAGTAGCTGTAGTAGTAGTAGTAGTAGTAGTAGTAGTAGTAGCAGTAGTAGTAGTAGCAGCAGTAGCAGCTGCAGCTGTAGGAGTAGGGTTCGGAGTGGAAGTGAGTGGGGGTGGTAATTACTCCAGAGACGGCCGTGTCCCCTGGATCCACCATTACAACTGAATCTGCCGTCTACACTCTGATAGAGCCCATGTAAGACCCTACATGCCGTTATAACCTATAACCCTATGAAGCAACTGGAAAGACTTGCTATTGCTGAGGGTGGTGCCTCCCACCCGTACCTGAACCCTGAAGCCCACCGCTCCCGATCCGAAGATAGGCGAGCTTCAGACAACCTTGGACCACAAGATAGACTCCGAATGCTAAATCCCAAAATAGGAATCCGCATTGTTTAATCGTACCATACGTATCAGAAGAACCCCCCCCCCACCCACCAAAAAGACTTGAGAGTGTTCTATTGGACTCGGCAGGATGCCGCCAGCGAAAAGAAGCAAAAGCTCAAAAGCTGCTCATCCTTATGGGCTTAGGGTTCTATGCGGTCTTGTGACAGCCTCCCAGGTGTTTGTGGGACGCTATAAGGGCTCACAACTCAACGTGCGAGAGGCTGCCAGCCATGGCTGGAGAGGGCGTTAGACCAGTGTTTCGCTCTGTACCTCCTTCGC